GACTATACAAATGGACATCACTAGACACAATATGCAGAAACCAAATTGACTCCATCTGTGGGAAGAGATGGTGCAAAAGCACCATATCATCAGTCAAAATAAGGCCAAGGGCAGAACAGACCATATGTAAGTTCAGACTGAAGCTGAGAAAATTACAATAAATCCAGAAGAGCCAAAATACGACCTTGAACGTACCCCACCTTAACTTAAAGACTATCTCAAGAACAGATTTGGTGCACTAGACACTAATGACCAAAGACCAGAAGAGTTGTGGGATGACATCAAGAACATCATACATGAAGAAAGCAAAAGGTCATCAAGTAGCCAAGAAAGATGGAAAAGACCAAAACTGATGTCAAAAGAAACTGTGAAACTTACTCTCCAGTGTAGTGTTGCTAAAGCAAAATGAAGAAATGAAGAGGTAAAAGACCTGAACAGAACACTTAAAAGAGCAGCCTGACAGACCAGCCTGGAACAGCTAGAGGAACAGAAGATACTTCTTGAAAGAAAGACCAGCAGGAAAAATGGAAAATAAAAACAGCAGTCTGTTTGGCTACCACAAGAATAAGCAAGTTGTTCACTATGAAAGAAAGGCCGAGTGATATGCTTCTATAAAGATTACAGACAAGAAAGCCACATGAAGCAGTTCTGTAAAGCAGAGTTAATGTTAGCTGGAATTGGCTTGAGGGAAATGGGTTTGGCAATTTTGATTTAGACTATGTTTTAAGGTCAAGAAGTGTGAGCTCTCCTACTTCTTTTTCAAGGTTGCTTTTGTTTAATATCATCTTAATGCCCTTCCAGAAACCTAAATTCCCTGGTGTTAGTGGGTAGGCTGTAACTTGGGGAAAAAGTACCACTACCAAAGGGAGCACTAGCTTTTCACTACATGGTTGAGATCCTTCTGGTAGGCCCAGACAAGGACAACATTAACAAGAATTGGGACATGCTGATGACACACATGAGGCAATATGGATAGTCCATTAATAAAGACAAAGTACAAGAACTTAGAAGCCAAGTGAAATTTATAAGCATGGCCCAGGAAGGGGTGCAAAGCCTCAATCCACAAAAGATGACTGCCATGCTTTGTCCTCCCTTTGCACAACAAACAAAAAGATTGAAAAGCAGTTAGGAGGTATTTGCTAATAATATTATCACATTACCCATATTGAAATATTAACCCAAAATACACACTGGGTTATTAGAAAGACTACTCCATTTTGTTGTTGTTGTTGTTGTTAAGTGCCTTCTAGTTGGTTCCGAATCATAGTCAACCTGTATAGGGTTTCCGAGGAATGGCTGGTGAATTTGAACCACTGACCTTTCAGTTCAAACCAACCTTGCAGTCTAGTGTTTATCCTACAGCACCACACCAGGACTCCATATGTATTTCAATGGACTCCAGTGGGCTAATGTGCTGGATTTCAAAGTCAGTTTGAACTTCAAGGTCAGCGGATCATACTCACTAGGTGCTCCTCAGAAACCCTATGCATAGTTGTTATGGGTTGGAAAAGACTTAAAGGTGCTTAACAACAACAACAAAATTCATCAGAATCTTCTGGAAGCCCTACAGTAGGTAATTCTAGTGATTGGATAGTTCCCACTAATTCATATTTACTGTTTGAGTTAAAGACTTCATAAGCTATCAATTCAGGGATTGGAAGGACACCAATACAAGTCAGAGAAGCCCACTGATGTTGAACCAATTATCTCCTGAGTCATCTCCCTTGGAGAGACAATTATTGACCCATTAGGTCTTGGTGTATACTGAATGCAAGACCCATGGCCATCAACTAGCATTATGTTCCATATCTGAAACCAAACAATACATGTACTTTTGCTTTTGTTTGCTAGTTACTTAAGGGTATTTATACTTTAGATTAAAGTTTAAAATTTCTATAAAATTTATGCTCAAATACATATGCAGGAACAAAACAAAAAGATGTTCTGATGAGTTTAACTTAAATATGTTTAGTTACCTCTATTTATTATACTTACTATAGAGTTTTTCCCCTGTGGAAGTCATTTTCTTTTCTACTTTCATTTGGGCATCTGACATTGAATCTTGGTTCTCAAGCACAAGATTTTCATCTGGAACCTCAACAAGAGCTACAAAGAGAGATGCATTTAGTCCAATAAATACAAAACAAATCTCTTCTGAAATCTCTAAATTTTGAATTTATACCAAGTGTACAGCAATTGCACAACTGTATAGAAATTTTCTCTCACTTTATAATTTTCACCTAAGCTCTAGATAGGTATATATGGGGTACAACACTAGTAAGGTATGTTTACCCTGGAATAGTCAGTCAATCATTCAAAATTCAAAGGGCAACATTTACCTAAGGACAAAGTTGGGAAGAAATCAGAAGGTGGATGGAATGGAGATAGGAGCCACAGGGAGGAAGTGGGATAATTGTTGTTACATGGAGAGAATTGTTATCATTGAGAGGAAATGAAGTTTGTGATTTGTTGAATGTAAAACTGATGATTTTGCCTGTAAAACTTCACTCAATTCACAATAAAGTTTTTTAAAAAAAACAAACCAGGGGCCAAATAGAGAAAATACCATCAATTGTTCATGTCCAAGTTGAACTTGAAGCTGAAGGAAACCAAAGAAAGTCTTTATAAGCCAAAGTTTGACCTTACATACAACCCACCTGGACTCAGAGAACATTTTAAGATTATATTTGATGCTCTGAAAACTGACCAAAACCCAGAAGAGTTGTGACGACATCAAGAACATAAAACATGAAGAAAGTTAAAGGTCATTAAAAAGACAGAAAAGACCAAAATGATGACTAAGGTGCATTTGACCCACACTATGGTCTTTTCAATCACTTCATATGCATGCAAAAACTGGACAGTGAAAAGTGAAAACAAAAGAAGTGTTTCACTCAAACTGTGGTGTTGACTAAGAACATTAAATATACTGTGAGTTGCCAGCAGAACAAACAAATCAGTCTTAGAAAAAATGCACCAGAATAATTCGTGGAAGAAAAGATGGTGAAATTTTGGCTTGCTTACTTTGAACATATGGTGAGGGAAAACCAACTGCTATGCACCATATTGTTAACCACAAGGTCTGTGGTTCAAACCCACCAGCCACTATTTGGAAACTCTTTACAGTGCCACAATGATTTGGAACTGACTTGAAGGCACTTAACAACAAAGACATCATAGTTGGTAAAGCAGAGGAACAGTAAAAACTATAAAAACACTCAATTAAATTGATTGACACAATAGTCTAAGAGCTCAAACACACTAATGATCGTGAAGATGAACAGGGCCAGACAATGTTTTCTCCTGTTGTACATAAGGTTGCTATAAGTCAGAACCTACTCCATGGCAGGGTTTCTGAGGAATGGCTGGTGAGCTTGAACTGCAGATGTGTGCAGTCCAGCGCATTAACCCATAGTGCCACAATATTACAAAATACTACAAATAATCTTTATATCACAATGCTATAAAATTAGAAATCCACATTAGGAATATCAAAGAAGTAGAATCAAGTATATGGAAATTAAATAATACCTTGCATAAAAGCCAATGGGTAATAGAACAAATAAAAACTGAAATAAAAAATCCCATAAATCTAATGAGATGAAAATAACATAACAAAACCTTTGTGACACAGCAAAAACAGTACTTAGAGGCAATTTGTAACAATAAGTGCACATTTCCAAAAAGAAGAAAGAACCAAACTCGACACATTAACACAGCAGCTCCAAAAAATTTCAAAAGACCATCTAAGTAAGCTATCAGTCACCAGGAAAGAAATAAAGATGATTAGAACAGAAATCAATGAATTAGGAAACAGAAAGACACTAGAAAGAATAAATAAGACAAGAAGTTTGCTCTTTGAAAAAAATTAAAATGGCAAATCTAATAAGGAGAAGATGCAAATAAGACACATAAGAAATGATATGGGTAACATTACAACAGAAACAATGGAAATACAAACAAAGGATAATAACAGAATACTATAAAGAACTGTACTCTAATAAATTTGAAAATCTAGGAAAAACAGATAAAGTTTTAGGAAAACACAGTCTACCTAAACTAACACAAAGTGAAGTTGAAAACTTGAACAGACCTATAACAAAAAAAGAAACTGATTAGGTAATTAAACAACTCCCAACAACAACAAATTTCCAGACACAGATGAATGATGGCTTCTACCAAACATTCAGAGAAGCACTGACGCCAATTTTACTCAGGCTATTCCAGAATACAGAAAAGGATGGAAAACTCACAAACACGTTTTATGAAGCAAGCATAACCCTCCTACCAAAACCAGGCAAAGACATCACTAAAAAAGA